GAGGTGTTTCTGTTTTATATCAAAAACATACATCATCAAAAAACACATACCTTCCCCTCAAGGCTCTGTTACCTGGTGGAGGGGGCCGGCGGAGAAGCGGGGCGTGAAGTCGCTGCCGCAGCTGTGGAGCACCTCTGATGCTGTTGCTGGCCAAGGCGGTCCCTCCAGCGGCCGGAGGGGCAGATGGACTGTGACGTCACCAGATGGTGTAAAGTCTCTGAGACCTCCTCGAATCTTTGCGATTTCTCAAGGATGGTCCTGAAGTTGGCCCCGAACAGCGCCTCTGGGGTGATGGGGCCCTCCAGCAGATCTTTCTGCAGCCTCTCTGACAAGGATGGTGAGAGGCAAAGCCAAGTGGTCTTTTGGATCATGGTCATCCAGGCAGCGATGCGGGACAGGCATATCGCAGAGGTGACACATGTTTAAGATGACATCAACAGCTTTACAGAGAGCTCTTTTTCTCCTCCAGCAGGTCTGCTTCTTCCAGCCTCTTAGAGATGCTGTAGGCCAGCAGGGCGATGTTGTTGTTCGCTGCGACCATCTGGAATGAGCACTGGTGAGCCCGGTTGGAGACCTTGTCACCATCTGGTCATGCTTCCCTGAAGGGACAGGTTGCTGGTCCATCCTGGAAGCTTTTGCCCAAAGTGTCACAGCCAGGCTTGGCTCGGGGGACGGGGGCTAAGGGAAAAAACACCAATAGGTAAAACCCTCCACTCTGGAGATGTAGACGAAGATGGAGACGGATGTCTTCAGCTTGCCGGCCCCGCTGCAGCCTCGTTCCAGTGTGATATCGCAGTTGCACAGTGAGGCCAGGTGGGGTCAGGGCGACAAGTCAGGACGGAGCCAACCTTGCCGCCAGATCATCCGATCAGGGTGGAGGGAGACGAGGGACGGAAAACCCCTTGTGTTAACATCCTCCTGGATTATGCCGGGCATCTCCGAGAGGAGGGCGCCGACGACTGGGAGTAGTGTGGTCGCCGACGTGGGAAGATCAGCCACTCGTCTTCCGTCACTACGCTCTCCATGAGGGAAGGGGCAGCTCCGCATCGCCTTTCTTGGAGGAGTCATTCGATTCACTGCATGACTCTGCGTCAAAGAAGGCAGTGGCGTCGTCCCGCGCTTTAGCGTCCCGTCACATAAAAAAACACTCAGCGGAGCTGCTGCCAACAACGCCTTTTTGATGGAATCATCCAATTTACGTCGAGAAAAAAACACGTTAGAAAAGGCGGTGGCGTCGTCCAGCGAGTAGCGGCCCTCCATGGAAAAGATTTCAGCGGAGCTGCTGCTAACATAGCCTTCTGAGGAAATCGTTCGATTACCGTGAGGACAAAACACGTTAGAAAAGGCTGTGGCATCATCCAGCGGGTAGCGGCCTGCCACGGAAAACACATTCAGCGGGGCTGCTACTAACATCACCTTTTTCGAGGAAATCATTCAATTACTGTAAGGAAAAAACACGTTAGAAAAGGCGATAGCGTTGTCCAGCGGGTAGCGGACCGTCACGTAAAAGCATTCCTCGGCGCTTACCTCTTTCATCTGCTTCTCCTGGGGGAGGAAGAGCTCACCGGGACGGGAGGAGGTTGGCGTGGCGGAGACCCAGGCATCCTTATCAAAGGTTGTGCCGGTCAAACCTGGACAACTTTTCGTTCTTCGTTCTTCTGACAGTGCTAGCTAGCTGGCTGAAGAAAAAATGGGAGCCGATTACCCGCTCTCACCGTAATTTATATGGACCAGGGATGAGGCCCACACACAGCAGGTGGGCGTGGACTAAAGTTTTTTCAGTGCAGCGCTGAGCGCATAGGAATAAACCTACTAGCGAAAGTCTTAAAGGGCGAAGCCTATACGAAATAGAATTGGTTGATCCACTACGAGAAGGTGCTATTTTTAAGACTGAGCTGAATACAGCACCTCAGACTGAAGAAGTCCTTCGGATGAAAGACGAAACATTTCTACTTTTATTGTTTGTTTTGTTTTTTGAATGTCCAGAGGACCAGACTTATCTTTTTTAGATTTGTCTACCTTGAGTATTGAACATGCATCAGGATATACTGAGGACCTTTTCACTTAGCAGTTTTTCTTCAGAAAAATCAACATGTCTGCTTTCCCTTAGCCCCACCTTAGCCCTGCCCTTTTTGAACAGGAAGTCACCTGTTTTCTTTCTGATTTTCTTCCATTTACTCTACCATTCATACAGATTTAAATCTGTGTTTAATGACACAGCAAAACTTGAAGCTAAATCCTGATGCATGCTCAATAATCCAGGTAGAAAAATCTAAAAAAGTTAAATCTGGTCCTCTGAACATTCAAAAAAACAAAACAAAGCAAATCAACAAAAAAATGTAGAAA